TGCCCCTTAGCATAGGGGTGGCCATTTGAGAGGCGAGTCCATTCCTTGGTGGGTCATTCTTGAAGCACATACCTATATGGGTTGTTATTAACAGGGCAGAAGAGCTGTACAATAATCAAATTCAAGTTATAGGGATCACAGTTTGCCTATCTAAAGAAAATGAACTTAGAGAGAAAGACTATTGTATTTTTAGTTTGCACATATTTAAGGTTATCATTTGAGCGCATTTTTTTATATATAAATGGCAGGTCAATGGATTTAACCTCTGTGAACTGAATTACAGGAGTAGATATAATTAAAAAAATTTATACATCTCTGAACACTTTCCAAGAGGCTTATATGATCAGTGCTATAATCCAAACTCACAGCTTTTGCTGCCTACACAAACCACAACTGAGGGTCCAATGCACATTCAGGATCTTACAAGGTAGGCCCTGCTGACTGACAACCAGCTCCACCCCACAGTCTCATGAGTCACAATCCTATATGTTTCTATAGTCAGTGTTCAGCAAAATACTAGGTTGTCAGCAGTGCTATTTAGGGACAGTAATCTGCATGGAATGCAGTATGCTAGTGGTGATAGACTTTTATATAGCAAGCTTCCTATTCAGGACTGCTTTTAAGTATCCCTGTATCCCATATTTTAGCTTATCTTGTTATTTATTAGAAGTAGAATGTGCTCCAATCTATAAAGGTTTGTTGTTGCTTATCTACAATATACAAACTGTATGAGCAAGACCATAAGCTGTGAACAAAGGCACTGGATGTACTCACTCAGGACATGTCCACACAGCACATAGTCTGGGGCAGGGGTAGGCAACCTTGGTGTTCCAACTGTTATGAAACTACAAATCACATCATGCCACTGCCTCTGGGAGTCAGACCTGTGGCTGTCAGAATCTTGGAATGCGTCATGGGACCTGTAGTACAGTTGTAGTACTGAGGTTGCCTACCCCTGGTCTAGGGCAAGGTTCACATGTCCATTTGTATTTCATATAGGATTGATCACTGACTGATATGTGCACTTTGGCTTTATGCTTCCTGCATGAAAAACATCAGCGCCCTTGTGGCTAGCAGTAAAGTGGACACTTTGTGTTACAGTTATTATGTATGATGGTTTTAAAATTTCGAATCAAAATCAATGTGTATTCTGTATGGTTCTCTTATTCACTAAGTAGTCAGCCAAGTTAATAACAAAATCGCAGTGAAGAGAGCAGAAACGCTGTCACTTCAGCCAAGTATGCCTGATTTCTGCCGTACAACGGCTGGCTTCAGCTCCCTTCGGTTCACTGCGGATGAGCCGAAGTAAAGAACACGTTCACCTGTTCGCACCAATTATCACAGGGGCCAAACAGTAGTGAGTGAATAGCCGAATGCTGCCATGCAGCATTCGGATCGGTTATTCTGCTTTGGCAGACCATTCTCCCCGCTTCAGCTGCGTCTTCGGCTTAGCCGAGCTGAACGCATATGTTTCGTCTCAACTGAGCTCTTTGGCTGCCTTCAGCTGCTGTAGGGGCTATTGTGAATAGCCCCTAGAGCAGACCTTCGGTTCGGCCGAACCAAAGGCCTCCCGCAGCCAATGTGAGCCAAAGGATTAGCCAAACCTATGGCTAGATCCTTCGGCTCTTTAGTGAATAACCCCAATGTTTACTAAATCTGCTGCAACTGGTTGTCCAGATGGAAAAAAAACATCTAAGGGTACTTTAAAGGGGGCTTACACTTTTAGCTATAAAAAGCTATAGGTTTTTTTTTAGGTCTGAGCTTCATGATGTGGAAAAGACTAGTGAAGGTGCCATGAGAAGAGGAGTGAGTGTTGATGTCCCATCTTAAGGGACCTGCTATTCAGAGTCACCCTCATTACAATACTGCATTCTAAACAGTGATTTAGAGATTTATAACAATGGAACTGTGGGGTTTCTGTAAGTACAGACTTCAGAGTCCATATTTCTTAGCATGCTCCATTACAATACTGGTTAATTTCAAAGATAACTGGTTTCCTTACTACAGCTCATATTAGAAATGCACTGCTTAAAAGCACTTCTGTTGGTCTCTTGTTTTTTTTTTTTTAATTTCTGTCTGATTGACAGTTAACAGCAGATGCATGCTGAGACACAGATTACTGTTCATTATGCCTGAGGGTAGTGCTTTGTGTGCCTATGCTCTTTTCATAATATAACTCATGAAAATTTCTTAAAGGGAGCCTATCATCAATTAGATTTTTATGTTAAAATGTAGTATTCGTATTTATGGTTTACATTTGTATTTTATTTTTTACATGTGTTACCCCTTGCTGCACAGCACAAAGCTTCTTCCACTAAAAACTATTACAGAGAGAATTTTACCTGTGGCTGTGCCGCAAGCTAGGAAAAGCCATAGAGATCAATAGGCAGGGGAAGTCCAAATACTGCAGAGAGCCTTCGGACCACAGCACCACAATGTTCCACCCACCAGCCAAAAAATGTGTGAACTGATTAATTTGGCAGAGCATACATTTTCAGACTTGGTTTTACACATAGCTCCCAACTGTCCCCCTTTTTTTTAATCAAATCACTCTGTCCCTCTTTCCTTTTCTTTTTGTCTGACTTTTATAAACAATGCCCTTTATAAGAGACTTTTATACATAATGCCCTTTATCATTTTTATTTACAAATAATTATTAAATTAGCTTGAAGAGTAAGGATAAAAAGCAGGGGTGAAAAGCACTTGTTGGTGTGACTCATACATTTTTGCCTATTATTTGCTGTCCACATAATTGGGGGGACCGCAGGGGTGTGTCCTTTGTCTGCATACATTGGGTTAAAAGGTGTCCTTTTTTTCTTAACCCAGAAAGTTTGGAGCAATAATTCCAAGGCACTTGGCATGGGTCAGAACCTTCTGCCAATCACCCAAAAACTGCCAGGAAGCCCTGCAGTTTAAAGGAGTCCTTACTGTCAACTTTCTTTGTTACACTGTCCCTTGAAAATTGCTTAGGTCTTATATTAATGCACTGAGCCAACTGCTGTTAACAGACAATATGTAGCCCATTGCAGTGCACAAGAAATCTTATCTATTATTACTGTGGAATATGAAGCTGGCCACAGACTGGCAGGGCTTTTATTTAGTGATACAGAAGATCTCAGAGCAGCAAATTCTTTCAAAAGCTTCTATCTGTGTTCTTCATAACAGTTGGATTTTGCAACCATTTAGCAGAAGTTGCTTTCTTTGGCTTTCTGTGTTCTGCCAAAAGTAACTGAAAACCAAATCATGTTGTTGATGTAGGTTTTTGCACTAACGAGACTTCACAGCCAATGTCACTCTGGAGCTTTTCTTGCCTGTGATGTTTTCCATGAAAATTGCACAATAAAATTGCTCTGCATCTTCTCAGTGTGAAAGTCGATGTGACATGCTCTGACCTTGCTAGACACCAGAGCTGGTGTAATGAGGCGCATTAGGCTACAATGCCTCCCTGAAGTTAATCATGTGCCCTTCTCTGTATCCTTCATATAGCATTTTTCTGTTGTTTCTTCTATGGTAATGTTGTCCACAAAAGCTGTCTAGTCAGTTTTTGATGCTGATCTGTCAGACATGTATAGCTGCCAATATTCTAAAATAGGACCTTTTATTTCCCAACTAGGGTTTTTTTTAGTCTTTTGATGCACTAAACCATCCTATCGGACCACAGGGAAATTATGTATATAATGATTACATTTTCATTAATTTGTAATTTATTTTTTGCATTTAACATGTGGTTAAAAAAAACCCAA